CATGCATCAGGGGGCTTTACCCCCTCTGTTCGGATGGCTCGGAGCCAGTAATCTGGCACAGCTTGCTGTAAGTTCAGGTAGTTCCTCTCTAGATGTCGTACTGCAGGTAGCTTCCTCCGCAGAGCTGCCAGAGGTATCCAGTCATTTGTGTTCTGGTCCCAGAGATCCTTGATCTGGACCACCCCTTTTTCCACCCACGTCTTACCAAAAGTTCCTGCCTTCCCATCTGCTGGGAAGCTTGTGTCGTCTTCTTGCCTTATAAACGTGTTCTCGAAGAGGATTTGATTGAGGACCTCTATCCTGGTCTGCGGTGGTTTTTGTGTCTGTGGAAAGATCTTTCGCCATGCGGCTAGGATATTTTTCCATTGCTTGGACGTCAGTCTCCTGGCTACAAAGGAGGGAATAAAGAAACATGCCCATACGTCATTGGGTCTGGCTAAGTTCCATTCTTTTGCAGGGATGGATTCCGCTAGCCTGATCCACAGCTTGTTCCTGTTTCCGAAAACTGCTGCTACTACCCACTTTCCCAGTAAACCTCTGTTCTGTTGAATGGGATCTAGGATCCCCAGCCCCCCCTGTGTTCTTGGGGCTGCACTGCGTCCCAAGCAGCTTTGGCTAAGAACCCTTGTTGGTCTGAGGCTGATGGTTTCCAAAGATAGCGGCTAGCTGCTTTTTTAATGCTGGCATAAGCTTTGTTTCCCAGGAGATGGATGGATAATGGGTACCACAAGATGGAGAGTGCTGCCGCCGACAGCACCAATGCTCTTCCAAATAGAGAGAGTTTGTAGCCGCGAACCCATCCCATAATTCGAGCTGCCACTTTTTCTGCCAGCAATGAGTCCTGCACATCCGAGCAATCTACCAAGGAAACTTGAACTCCAAGAAAGCGGTCAGATGAGGCCTGAATTTTTTTGAGGCCCCACTCCACACATAGTTCCTTGGTAGGGGGTAAGAAATAGGCTGATTTGTCCCAATTAATAGATGCCTCTGATAGTGAGCAATAAGAATCTAGTACTGATCTAAGTTCCTGCATTGTGTCTACTGAATTTTCGCATGCTACTGTTAGATCGTCCGCAATTGCCCCTCCTTTCCACTGAGTGTGTTGATTTACCTTTAAACCCCTGATTTTTTCGTTCGTCCTGATATTTTCCAATAAGACTTCTAGCTGAATGACAAAAAGCAAGGGTGCTAGGGGGTAGCCTTGTCTAAGGGAGCGCGACAGTGAGAATTCATCTGATAGTTTCCCATTAACCACTACTACTGATTTGGCCCGAAAGAAGCTTGCTGCCACACATCTGCAGAAGCCATCTCCAAAGCCCATCTTACGCAGGGATGTGGTCATGAAGCTCCATCCTACCTTGTCGTACGCCATTTCCATATCGAGGAGGAGGACCGCCACATCCCTTTTTTCTTTGTTGATGGTCTCTAGTGCCTGTACTGTCGAGATGATGTTTTCGAAGATCGATCTTCCCTTAACGAAGGCCCCCTGTTCCCAGCCAATCAGATCGGGCAGCAACTTTGCCAGTCGTATAGCTAGGGTCTTTGCGAAGAGTTTATAGATTACGTTCAGGAGGGAAATTGGTCTCCAGTTGCTCACTTGCCTCTTATCACCCTTTTTATACAACAGGGTGATCATACCCTTTATAAATTCTGTTGGCATTGATCCGGTTTGCATTGTTCTGTTATAAATATCACATAGCACCGGGGCAAAGGCCGGCCAAGCTGCCAGAAATAGTTCAATTGGCAGACCGTCTAGGCCTGGGCATTTGCCCTTGGCCATCTGCCTGGCTGCCTGCCTTATTTCTCTCTCTGTCATAGGCGCTTCAAGCTCTTCCCTTGCTGTTGGGGTTATTGTCTTCAGTGACTGTGGTCAAAAGTCGGAGAAGTCTGACAGATTTCCATCTGGTGAGTCAAATGGTCGTCTTGTCGAGACTATGTCTCTGTAGTATTCTAAGGCGTAGGCACACATGTCTATGGTATTCGATGCTAGGGGGGCGTTTAATGCGAACGGATGCATTAATTCTCTCACTAGTGGTTTCGCTTGTCTTAATAACAAAGAACGGAATGTTAGACTAGTCATTCTATCGTAGCCAACTACCCCTCTGAATGTAAACAATTCCAGCCATTCCCGTTGCTTTCTTACTTCCAGATCTTCCAGTGCTAGTAGTGCCCCTTGTTGTTTTTCTGTCCAGTAATAGTCTGAGAACGGATTTTGACCCATTTTTCCTTTTGCTTCCTTAATTAGAGCTACTAACCTTTTTTCCTGCCATGCTCTGTTGGCTGCCTTCATACGTGAAACTTCTTTAAGGGCTGCTTGGATTATTGCAAAGCCTGTTGTTGCCCATCCATCATACTGTTCAAACAAGTCTTTCGCCTCCGGCCATGACTCCATATGGGCCGTGATCCATTGCACCACTCCTTTGTCCTTTAAGATGTTTACATTTAGTCTAAAGGGTGGGCGGTGTCTCTCTATTACTTCTTTTGAGAGGCTGTCTAGCACTACTGGGTAGCGATCTGAGATTTCTGATGTTTGCAGATCGCACCACATGCTCCTATCCCAGGGTGTGCCCCTGACCAAGAACAAATCTAATCTTTTGCGCGGAGCCGGTGTGGTGGGACTGGGTTTTGGGCCATACCAGGTAAATCCAAAGTCATCTGGGTTAAAGATTCTGTAAACATCTATTAATGCTTGTGCTTCCACCAAGGCTGATAAAGTTACAATATCTTCTCTGATGGGGCCCACTTTTAGTGAGTCCTGGCCGGGGTTAAAGATCGAGTTTCAATCCCCTGCCAGGACTAGGTTTTCTGTATCCGGGATGCATGATGGCAAATTAGCTATAAAATCAATTCTATCCTGATAGTGAACATCCTCCTCTTCTACTGCTATTTTCATCCATGCCCACCTACCTTCCTGGTCCACATAGCTATCTATTATCTCTACATCCAGATTTTTATCTATGAGAATAGCTACTCCACCTTTCGAACCAACGGCGGGGGCCCAAACCTGGGGTCCATCCCACCAGCCCTGAATTTCCGCAAGCTTTCTTTCTGAAAGCTTGGTTTCCTGCAGGCATAATATCTATATATTCTGCGAAGCTACCCACGAGCGGATGCGGGATTTTTTGTACCTTCCATTAGAATCACCCATTCCTCTTACATTCCACGTGGATATTCTGATCCTATTTGGTAAGACCATGGGCATTGCCTCGACCGCGTTGTTGGATACGGCTGCCTGCTACCGACTTCTCTCTCTGTTTGTTTTTCTTTCTCTCCCCTTCCCCCTGTCCTACGGACTCTGGGGGGGGAAGGGAGTAAGCCAGGCTATCAGCAAAGGATGTCGTTGTCAGAGTGTCCATCAAGTGATTTTGGGCGATCCATTCTGCCACCGTGTACGCTGAGATTCCTGCATCCAGCTCAACATCTTTGAGAGTGTCCACTCCCAGATCCAAAAAGTGTGCCAGGGGGAACCAGTAAGTATTCTCTGCACGCAGTTTGGTCAGGGCTTGCCTATCCCCTTGAAGTTTCACGAAAGATATGTGTACCGCAACCTTGCCATCCCCCCTATTTACCAGGATACGGCCACGTTTCGGTTCCGGTACAAGTGCACTTGTTAAACCTTCAGCCAAAAATCGGTCATTGATCTCGTTTGTCAAGAGCTTTGCTGTTGGGGGACCTTGTATGCTAAACGTTGGAAGTGCCTCTTGTAACTTCATTAGGACAACCGGGCCTTGTGCCGACTGCATGCATATCATTGGTGCTGCGATTTGTTCCACCTTCTTTTGGATTTTCTCCACTCTGGATACTGTGGCCATTGGTGGAGCAGAGGACAGTGTCTGCTTCGCCGATCTTGAACTTTGTCTTTGTTGGTTCGAAATTTTGTCCTTTCTTCTATTTACTACCTTAACTTTCTTCGCAGGGGAGTGAGTCCCGCCTTTTTATGTGTTATGTACCAATTTTTCTGTTACTCCTCCCTGCCTGGGGGTATCGTCTTGCTCTGAGTTGGTGATAGCTTCACGACAGTCTGTGAAATCTTCCTCTGAGGAGGCATGTCCTTCTTCAGTTGGGATACCCTTCAGTGTTCTCATGGGTATTACCTTATTTAGGAGTGAGGGTTCCTTTCTCGGGGTTTTGCCTGGGGGTATCGTCTTGCTCTGAGTTGGTGATAGCTTTACGGCAGTCTGTGAAATCTTCCTCTGAGGAGGCATCTCCTTCTTCAGTTGGGACACCCTTCAGTGTTCTCATGGGTATTGCCTTATTTAGGAGTGAGGGTTCCTTTCTCGGGGTTTCCTCTGGGGACTTGAACCCAATGCGTTATTTTCATAGACCTTCGTTGGATCGGAATCAATTAGGGAAGCTAATCCAATATTGTCCCCTTCTCCCCCAGATTCACCGAGGTCCTCCTCTCCCTCTTCTTCACTTCCCATCTCGCTATCCTCTGAGAAGACCTGTTCTTCTTCTTCCTCGTCCGTCGCCTCCACTAGTTTTCTCCTCCGCCTTGCCCTCCTCCTTTCCCAGAAGGGTTCCCTCTTCTTCTTCTTTCTCCTCCTCCCTCTTCCTTTTTTCTCTTCCCGCTGCTGTCTTGTCTTCATCCATTGCTTCCTTTTCGTCATTTTCCCCATCTTTTTGTTTTCCTATCCCTTCGTCAATGTCCGTGAGTGGATCGGGTTGTGGCTCCGGATCCTTATCCGGTTTATCTTTCTCTTCTGTCGGGGCAGGGGGAGGAGGTGGGGGGGGGGGGGGGGGGGGTTTTTCCCTCCCCCCCTTTTCCCCCTTTTCCCCCTTTTCCCCCCTTMCCCCCCCCCCCCCCCCTCCCGGCCCCCTCTTTGGAGTGAATTTGTCTACTTTTGGGTTGTCACCCTTCGTCGCGTCCGCGTAGGATTTCTGCTTTCGCTTGGGGCATTCCGGATCTCCTTCCGCGTGGAAATGGCGTCTGCAGGCAGGGCACCAGGGAGTTGTAGCACATACTACCTCTATCTCAACGTACCTCTATCTCAACGTACCTCTATCTCAACGTACCCATCCTCCCCCATATCTACTATCAAATACCGTTTGTATCGCAGACGTGCTGCCGACTCTACGTCAAACCGCACATTTAGCAGATCTGGTGCATCCGCGTCGTTGTACGCGGGGAAGGCCTTTACTACTGTGCCAAACGCATCCTGCACGGCATCGTGTAGAGGTGCTAGGGCTGCGATGGGAACTTGCTGGCACCGAATCCAAAAGAAGCGATACTTCGCAACTTCTCTCCACTCCCACAATTCCTGTTCTGTCATCCACGGTTGAAAGGTAAGGGTATATGTTTTGCCATCTAACGTGGTCTTCGTCTGCCCCACCTTCAACATCCATGAGGCGATTTCCTTCGCTGTTGCCACATATGTGACCAAGTTCTTGCCCTCATTGTGGAACAATCCTCTTTTTAGTGGAACATCAATTTGTTTTGCGTTTGCCCAACCATTTTTGTACACTCGTACCAAGTGTTTTTTCACATCTATAGGTAGCGAGGTTGATTCATCTCCGAACGTTATGGTGACGGCATGTTCCCTTAACCATTTGGCCTGAATTTGATAGAATTGGGGGTTGACCACTACTCGCACGTAGTCCTCCCCCACTTCTATGGTGTTCTTGGCCAGGTTCTTGGGTAGAATCCCATCTGTAAAGCACTGTGAGAGCAAGTCCCGGATCCTCTTCTTTTCTTCGTCTGGTATTGTCGGGCTCTCTTCAGAGGGCTCCATTTCAGGGACGAAGAGCGTGGGGTTAGACTATAAGAGAGATTGATAAAATAAAGTAAAATCTACTTCGAGGCGTGTTATAAATAGGGACAAATCAGCATGTTCCAACTTTCTACCAGGGTAGATGCATGGGCGTTTTATACCTGTGGGGGAAATTCCCCAGTCTTGACTTGGCGCTACGCTCCTTTTTCTCCTCGACTTGGCTGGGAGATATCCGCTGCACTGTTCACACTGGCTCCATTACTCTGTCATTTCCCGGGCTGTGTTTCCTTGTGGCAGACGGTTCCGGTCAAGTCCCCGATATTCCACGGTGGACACTCACACCAGAGTCCCGATGTGTGACCAGACCCGCGATGGCTTTCGTCTTTGGAATTACCGAGGGCGAAAAGCTCTCATGGGGAGGTATGGTACCTTGCTGTGTTTCCCTGCCCTAGCTCTCACCGGCGCACCCGGTGTGGGCCTAGCACTACACATAGCGCAGCGTTACCGCATACCGCCCGTCCCCCGCCCGGTCAGTTTCACGAACTTTGCGGCAAATTTTTGAATTGTCTTTCCCACCATTTTCATCTTTACTACGAGCAATTTCCACTGAGCGCGTGTAAGACCTGATTCCGGTCAGATGAACACCTGTGCGTGCTCCGACTTCAGTTCAGATCGGTATCTGGTGTAACCAATTCGGAAGGCTCTTCCCACAGATAACCTGGTAATGGGGATCAGAATTTTCTGTTTCCTGCTATTTTTCCGGTTATTTTTCCACTGTTTTGTCATTTTCTAGGAATAGTTTCTCCAGAGCCTTCGACAGGATAGGGAGAGGTTGCAACAGCCTCATATTGGTGTCGGGCTCAAACGGGTCACGAATATGGCCAAATGGGCCCCATCTCAATTCAGATCTGCTACTTTTCGCAGGTAAACCCGGGCAGAGTGCCTTGGGTACCCCGATAGGAATAATCCCACGGGGTAGGGTTCTAAGCATTTGTGAAGGTAGGGTACGGGATCTCGAAAGAAGGTTCTGATATCTCCTTTTGGATGGACATATGGGGTAGGCAGTAGTATAAAAGTAGATAGCTCAATTCCACAAAGCCTCGATCTGAGTGGTGTATGAGTAGAAGGGTTGGATTCATCTCGTCGGTGTGAAGACGAGCTGATGCAGTGAGGAAGTAGATAGCGCCATGACAGTAAAACTCATGTCTTCTTCTTCATTTGAATAATATTATTGTTTCTCATAAGGACCTGTTTTATTTATTAAAAAAAGAAGTTGCAGACATTGGGGACGCTGGACCCGGTTTCCAGCACAAGCCAAATCTGGGTAATGGCCCCAGCACTGTCCTGGGTGAGATGTTGAGGAGTTCCCGGCCTCATTGATTATTCATATAATAAAACTGCAGATTTCTCTTTAAGAAAAAAAAAGAAAAAGAAAACAAAAGAAAGAAAGGGCAGAAGTAAACTGGAAGGAAGAAGAGCACAAGCAACGATGCAGGCTATTCAAGGAAGCATGGAAAAGCAGGAAAAAACGCATAACAAAGGGAGATAAGGAACGGTGAGGAGAGACTACTGCTGCCCATTGAGGTTGGAGCACTGAAAGTTTTTTTTCCCTTCCCAAGAAAAGGGGAGGAGAAGAAATACGGCTTTTTGTTGGAAAACTTGAAATTTATAGGTCCAGTATTCCAACTCTATGAACCCTCACTCAATTTCTTTCTGAAGTATCTCAAGTGGTTTGCTAATATGTTTCAGTGGAAGTTTGATGTGCAAGGCAATGCTTCTTTCCTGTTCTTAGAGCTAGTCAAGAGGTGAAGTAGTGTACTGGGAAACAGGCCGTTTTATGATACCACCAGTCTCCACAATTCAGCCAATAGGTGGACAAAAGCGCTTTGGACTAAGTCCGAGTCCCAAAATTCCAATCTGCCCTTTGCAAAGATAAAAAGTATGGTCTTTGTTAACGACATTAGGGGCTTGGCTGGTTGCCAAGCAGGCCACTTTGGGCCTGATAGGAAGGGTGCTTCTGTTTTTCTGTTTCCAGGCCCGGTTTGTCGACGTATTGGCATGGTTTTCGCAGGGTTTTTTAGGTCCCTCGTTTTTTTCAGGTTTTCGGCTTGGGCCTGGCTGCGTGCATTAGGGGCTTGGCTGGTTGCCAAGCAGGCCACTTTGTAGGGTGCTTTTGTTTTTCTGTTTTCAGGCCTGGTTTGTCGACGTATTGGCATGCTTTTCAGAGGGTTTTTTAGGTCCCTCGGTTTTTCGGGTTTTCGGCATGGGGTGCACCATTCCGATGAGGGTTGTTTCGTGGGCTAGGCCAGATTTGATCTGATTTCGGGACCTTTCCTGTATGGTCTGGGCGTGGTGCTATGGTTCCATGCTGACGGAAACCGGGAAGTGTCAGTCGACAGGACTGACTTTAGACGGTTTGAAGGAGACATAGCTAGGCATGGCAGATTACTGTGCACTTTAGGCAATTTACTTCGCTTACCTTTTGGACCCGGTGCATCAGATATGAGGA